TGGTAGCAAAACCAGATATATTTATCTAATTAGAACTTACCTGTCATGTCTAGATCCTGTCACTAAAGCAAATTTGCGACAAGCTGGTATCAAATTACCAAGAAATCCTAAACAACCTTTGTTTAGATATTACCAATACCTAAAGAAGTTTAACTTTAGAGATATTCAAACATGTATTAAAATATGGTATGATAACACACAAATTATTGATCCAGATTTGAAAGATTACTGGTCACGATTTAGAAATAAAGATATAAGATCAACAGAAATTTTTGAAATTGGTAATAAGATAATGTATTTGATGACGGAAATCACACGACTCTTATTCAATTCTACATGCTTAAAGGAATTTGCTTTTGGAGGAAATCCTAAATTCAAACTGTCTTTCGAAAGCTTTCCGGAATATAGACTTGTTGCAGAGAACGTGACTTCTTTATCATTGGACCCAATTTTCACAGAATTCTATGATAACTGGGAAGCACTTTTGAATCCTTTCACCAATATTAAAAAGTTACATGTACCATTTTATCATCTCGAAAAAACTAGATTTCGTGATGACATGAATATTTTTGTACGACATTTGTCACCGCGTGCTTTAATGGTTCTGACTTGGCTTGGACTCTCAAATTTTCGCCTATGCTTGGAATCTTTAGCAGTTCTATCCAATTGTCCAAATTTAGAAACTTTGGTATTTTGGAATTGTACAAAAAAGACTAATGTACAAAATCAAATATTGCCAATTACACAATTTCTTTCTGTTAAAAACCTCTTCATCTTTTACAGTAATCATGATTTTAAACCAATTTTTCAGATGACAGAAAAAACATTAAAGGAGATTGTTCTCGACAATTCATCCGAGAATACAAAAGTAATATTGGATGCGATGATTCAATACTCTCCAAATATTACTAGATTAGCATTGCACGTTAATAAAATGGATATCTTATCTGACAAATTTAATAAATGGATGGAACTATCAAAATTGGAATCACTGGTTTTGAAATCAAAGGATGTAAAATCTAAATCGTTTATTCAAGTATTCGTTACACATTTCCCTGACTCTCTTACTGATCTAGACCTCGACATGTTTATCACATCAACTTTATTAAGAAAAATTCTGAATATTTGTAACGTGAATTTTAAAAAGTTGGGATTAAATGATAAATGCGGAATTACTGATGATCATTTACGAATATTGACTAAGTATGCTGAGCATTATAAAAGTTTAGAAGAAGTTAGATTTGACAGGTGGCCAGTAATTTATAAAAATCAAGAAACGGAAATAAAACGTAGTTACGAATCGGGTGAATTTTCAAAATTAAGCAAAGCAGTACTTGAAAAGGCAGGAAGATTTATTAAAGTTATCAGAAGGGATTCATACGACCCGTTTTTTAATCCAATGTATTCCTATTGAATTTCCTGTATATCTAAACAATTGTATTTTAAGTTAATTTCTCGCGAGTATTATGTAGTCTATTTTGTGTCTAATGTATAAACAACTAATAAATGGTTTAATATATATACATGTTTTATTATTGAAGATAATTCGATGCAATTCTTCTAAATAAATATCTTTACAATTTTTAATAAATACACTAAATCGACTTGCAAAGAAACTTCTTCCAATGGACCAAATATAGCATAAGGAACACCACTAATAAAATTGATTATCAATCAATTGATATAGAGTAGGTGTTCTTTATACTATATATTATTTCTATTGACTTAATTTTATAAACTACTATGCATTTTTATAATCAATTAGAGAAAAATTTTTAAAAAAATTAAAATAAATAAACTTGCAGATATTAATAAATAATAAACAAAACACATAATGGTGAAACTATTGATCCATATCTATCTAAAGCCTACATTCTACTAACACCACCTAAGCTACCACCTTCAACTTTCTCATTATAAACAACACTTAAACAGAATCCCAAAATAACTCTAGTCATTCTTGGGTCAATTACTCCATCATCTAATAATCTTGATGTTGTCCAATATACATCAGATTCTTTTTCAACTTTACTTGATAACAAGGCTCTATTTCTTGCAGCTGCTACTTCATCAATTTTTTTGCCCGCACTATTTATAATATTTAAATAGTATGAAAAGTAAACAATCTATAAAAATGGGTATTATCATAAGAAAAAGCTTTTACCTAGCAGCGGCTTCACGAGTAATTAAATCCAGAACTCCTGCTAATTGCTCTGGACCCATTACTGAACATTTGCTATTTGGCCATGAAAACAAAAATCTATAAAATTATAAAAGGTCAAAAATTTTCCATGATATACATGATTTACAATAATTGTCGCAGCTGATGCTGAAAATAGCTGATGCTGAAATATTGGGTCTCGATTTTGAAAATATAAACCCTGCTAAAATTCACATATACTCTTTAATTATCAATTCTAACCCTAAATCCTAACCTAGCCCTAAAAAAAAGCGGACGAAAAGCATTTTAAATTTTCATAACAAAATAGGTCCGAACTTCAGCATCAGCATCAGCTGCGACAATAATTAATCAATTTTACGGAAAATTAATTATGTTTCACCTTGGATTATAAGCTCTACCGCACATAGCATAATTTCCAGCACCATAAGAAGCACCCATCATAATAGTAATAACGGGTACTTGACTGTTGCTAACGGCATTTACAAAATGTGCTCCAGCCTTTATTATCCCTTCTTCCTCATATTTCTTACCTACCATGAATCCCGTGGTGTTTTGAAGAAATATGAGTGGCACATTCCTTTATTAAAATGGTAAATATATATTGACTTAAATTTTATGCAGGATAACATGAATATGAGAATAAAGTTTCTTACATCATGTTACACATTCGAATAAATTGAGTCGCTTTATTACTTTCTGGAATGAATAAAACATTGTTAGAGGCTATTATACCCACCTGGAAACCTGTGAATGTGAACATTCATAATAAGTTACGGTTGGTTATACAACTATAAAAGTATATTTGATATTAAATAACATTGCCACAACAATACCGTGAATAACGGCCCAGCCAGTGATTAAATTTGGCCCATAAAGAGGTTTAAATGCCGTAAACCTTGATCCATCCACTATACGAATGATAGCTTCATTAGCATCAAAGGGCACTCTAATATTTGCAGACACAATTCCAAGAAGTTCATCTAAAATAATAATAATAAGTTTAGAAAAGGATCAGTGCAAGAAAGTATACATCTATATTAATGTTTATGATAAATCAAAAATAACATACCAATGTCATACAAAGGTTCATCTATCTTTGGAGCAAGATGACTTCGAGGAATTTTTCCTCTTTTTTCCCAATTAAGTCTAGAAATGAATTCCCGAGCTTTATAAATAGCGTCATGTTCATCCAATGCAAGCTGATCAGAAACACCAGATTTTCTACTATGCATATCTGCACCACCGAGGCTTTCAGCATCAACAATTTCACCGGTAGCCAATTGAACAAGTGGTGGACCACCAAGAAACACCTGAGCTTGATTTTTCACCATAATAATATAATCAGTTAAAGCAGGTGTATATGCACCACCGGCTGTTGAATTACCAAATACTATACTACAAGTAGGAAGGCCGGCTTTTGTTCGCTCGGCCAAACTTCGAAAATGAGCACCACCCGGATGAAAAACTTTAAATTGCTGTTCCAATTTACTACCTCCAGTTTGAATTAATTGAATTAAAGGTAATCTATTTTGCCAAGCTATAGCATTAATTCTAGCGCCCTTAGCGACACTGACTTTGTTAGATGAACCTCCAAATAATGTCGGAACGTTGCCGGTTATTAAACATTCTATGCCACAAACAAGGCCGATACCTGCAACACTTGAACCGCCTAATGTCATATCATCTTGACCCCATCCTGCTAAAGGACATAATTCTAAAAATGGTGAATCTTCATCTAATAAAAGGTCGATTCTGTCACGAACTAATAATTGACCACGTTTAAGATGCTTTTCAATTGCTTTATCGGGGCCTTGTTTAACCGCTAAATTTAGACGTTCATTTAAAGTCTCTACCATACTAAGCATTTCTTTATAATTTTTATGATATGCATCATCTTTTACGATTTTTGTTTTGAGAACTGGAATTTCATCATAAACATTCATTGTAAATTATGTATCGTCATTAAAATAATCAGCAATTAATAGTCCCAATGGATCGGCGATAGTTAAAATAGTAATTTTGGACGTCGGTTAAAGTAACAGAACTGGGAGTAGAAATGTTAATCGACTCAATCTGCTTGTACATTCCTAATTGGGATTTTGCTAATTCCCCCCAAATTTTATTGGCTGGGATTATTCACATGTCATTTATAAGGTTCAAAATTTGAAAACTTGTAAAAAAAATTTTTTATGTTTTAATAACCGGGTGGGTTTTTAAAGAAATTTTAAAAAATTTTATAAATTTTTATATATGAAATTTAAAAA